GATCCTGGAGAGAACAATCATGAGAGAAAGAAGGGCTGCTTATGCACAGGGAGACAGCTCAGGGGGCAGGAGTGTATGGAGGGATGGACACTGGGAAGAGGTAACTATGGGGAGGATGCGGAGGGGAGCAGTTGCATTGTGGTAAACTGTGGTCAACGACATGAGACAAAGTATATGTGCACTGCTGTATGGAAAGTGAATTTGCTCTGTAAATCTTCACCCAAATCACAATAAAATAAATAAATAATAATAAAAGGAAAAAAAATGACAAAAAGAATAAAGACAGGAACATTTAAAAGACAAGTCACTGAAACTACAGAAACATTTTCTACTTACAGTATTATGTATTGAACAGTGAATTCTGTAGTTTTTTTCCAGCAGCTGTTGCACAGCACTTGACCTACAGCAGCATAAAATGATAACCACTATGACTCCAAAATCAAAATTACAGATAAATTTCAGTTAGTGTAAGAATAATTCTATGCTCTAAATTGTGAAATTAAGAAAAAGTATTTAACTTCTAAATTTATGAAATAAAGTCATAATAAACATCTCTTTAAAGCCATAGAGAAGTTGTTCTAGTTTCTACAAACATTGTCTAAAAAAAGATCTCAAAACCCTTTGAAAATATGGCTCTCAAATCTTTTTTTGCCCTTGGACCCCAAATGGACGTACTGTATTTTTACAGTTAATAATGGCATGAATCCTTCACAAGTGTTGAAAAGGCCCATTAATACCCCATTATCTGAGGAAAAACTAAGCAGAAATGTGGTCAGTTTCCATTTTGTTCTCTTCCTGTTTTACAAAAAAAACCTGTTCTGACTCTCAGCACTAAAAACTTGGTTAAGTTCTTCTGCCACCCAAAGTACCAAGTTAGGTTAAAAAGTGATGTGTGTCTGGAAACGTGTAAGTTTTATGCTTAAGGTAGCTATTAAGGAAAAGGATCAAATTCTAGCACTTAACACAGTTTCTGGAGTAATAATCTTCCATATACTACATATAAGTAAAATACTTACTTAAATGCAGCAGACAATGTCTTGTTTTTTCTAACAAAGGTGATTCTTACTAGGCCATCCCATTCCTGAAACAGATATGGGTATTATCTTAAAAATATCAAACTTCTTGACTATAGCTGCTAGGTCTTATTTTGTCTTTCAATACATAAAACTGGAGGGAACTTCTAGAGTGATGACAGTGTCCTCTATCTTGAACTGGCTAGTACACAATGAAGCAGCAAGATGTATATTTAAGAGTTGTGTACTTTTCTGTACCACTGAATGTATTTTATCCTCAATTGAAAAAAGATGTTCCGCATCTGAACAAAGAACATGACATTCGTTTAAACCTAAATATCATTTCAAAAGGTGCTCTGGTGGCATAGTGGTGAAGGCATTCGGCAGTTAACCTGAAGGATGGCAGTTTACGCATACCAGTCATTCCATGGGGAGAAAGATGAGGCAATCTGCTTCCATAACATGTCACAGCTTTGGAAATGTTACGGGGCTTTTCTACTATGTCCTATAGGATCGCCAGCAGTTGGAATGGACTCAGTGGCAGTGGGTTTGGATTATAATTTTCAAAAGGAGCCCTGGTGGCATAGTGGTTAAAGTGCTCAGCTGCAAACCTAAAGGTCAATAGTCCAAACATACCAGCCACTCCATGGAAGAAAGATGTGGCAGTCTGCTTCTGTAAAAACTATTGTTGTCAGATGCCATCGAGTGAGTTTCGACTCATACTGACCTCTTGAACAACAGCACACAACACTGTCTGGTCCTGCACCATCCTCAACAATAGTTGACTATGATTGAGCCCACCGTAGCAGCCACTGTGTCAATCCATTTCATTGAGAGTTGTCTTCTTTTTCACTGACCATCTATTTCACCAAGCAAAGATTACAACCCTGGAAACCGTATGGGACAGCTCTCCTTGGGACTATCTGAACTGTAGGGTTGCTGTGAGTCACAACTCAATGGCAAAAGGTTTGATTTGGTTTATTATTTTCAAAATCAACATAATTCACAGCAGATGTGATTTAATATATAGCCTGTGCAACTCACCTAGAAAACGCCATTTACCACTAGTCATGTTTTTGTCCAACATGGTTTTACTAAGGTTTTACATCAAGTGGTCTAGCTTTTTTCCTTTTTAAATGGCAAAAACAAAAATTTTCATTTGAAAGTGTTACCTACAATATTATTCTAACATACTTTTCATTGTAGCTTGTTTACCAAAGACATATTCAAGTAGATTAATGTTTCCCAAATCTCAAGCAAAATGCAGCTGCATTCTAATGTTATTGCCCATTGTAAGCATTTCTCACTGCCTTTTGTGGTCTTCACAACTATCTTACTTCAAATTATTCTACCCACTCCATTATAGGGATGCACTGTAGTTAACATTTTCCTGTTTTTGAAAATGTAAGTTGATGGAATACTTTTCTGCTGCTATAGATACACATTTTCCAGCCTGGATTTTTTTCCCCCCCTTTTATTGAATGACCTGGTATTTTAACCTCACCTGAAAATTGATAGGTGGTGGCGGATTCTTAGGTTCTATTCTTACAACACTGGATTCTACCTTGGGTGGTGGTCTGAAGTTATTCTTTCCAACCTATAAATCAAAAAAATATTTAAACAGTCCTTAAAGACAAAATTAAGCTACAATCAAAGATTTCCCTCACAGAAGGCAAAGCAAGATGCTCAGTCAGGAATGAGTTAAGATGGATTATTTCAATAATAAAAATCACTTACTTTCATTAGATGGTCTACACGTGCTAACAGCTGTGTATTAATAGAGAGTCTGCAGTATAATTTATCTCCAGGTTTTGCAACCAGTCGGAGAGCAAATTCTCTTTGAAACATAAGTATAGCACATCTGAGAAGCAGAAGGGAAAAGAAAAATAGTCACTTCCAACTCTAAATGTATTTTAACTTCAAAGAACTTTCTAGGAAGAGAAACAGAGCATAGTAATTATCTGTGGTTAATGATAATTAATTCAACGCTTAGACTAAAGGAGAACACTTTCAGCCTTAGCTTTGTTTACTAGCACTAAATAAGTTAGTTGATAATAGCTGCACTCCTAACCCTAAGGAAGCCAGCAAAAATAAAAGGTGATCAGATGAGAATATATTTCAGATCAGCCCCTCTGAGGAAACAAAACCAAAGCAAACAATACTGACTCAGTGGCAGCAAACACCCCCACAGAAAAGCTAAGGTTGGAGAGGCAAGTTGTGACATTTGGTGTCCCCAATTTATCACATTAAACAATGTGAACTATTCAGTAGGCAATGGGGAAACTTTTTGAAAGATCTTGAACAGAAGAGAATTTTCAAAGCTGGACTTTGACTTTCCAAATTTTTTGACAATGAGCCACACTAAGAAATACATTTGACATTGCTTTCCAGGCCACTAATACATACTGTGTATAAATGCATCTCTATAGAGGAAAAAAAAAAGGCATGAAACAATAATCACATGGACCACATATAATGCCCTCTGGTTTATTTAAAAAAAAAAAAAAAAAAAGATCATGACTTACTAAATTCGTTTTAAGACCATAAAACTATTTTTAGTTCCTGGGTAGTGCAAATGGTTATGAACTCAACTACTAACCAAAAGGCTGAAAGTTTGAACCTATCCAGAGGTGCTTCAGAAGGCAGGTCTGGCAGTCTGTTTCTGAAAGGTCACAGGCTTGAAAACTCTGTAGACCAGTTCTACTCTGCACACATGGGGTTGCCATGAGTCTGAATCAACTTGACAGCAATGAACAACCACAAGAAGGGTTTCTAACTTGTAGTTTGGTAACTACCAGACTGTACTAGAGACCAGTTAGGAGGCTAGACTAAGATGATAAAAAGTTTGACCTAGGATTAGAAAATAAGTCTGGCCTCAGATGCAGTTCTTAGATAACACAAGTAACTCTGTTATGCAGATGGCCCTGTGGGGGAAGGGAGAAGAGGGAAGGAGGGAGGGAGGGAGAGAGGAGAAGACAGAGGGAAACAAACAAAGGAGGGAGCTTTGGTGCAGTGAAATTATTTGGTGTGGCTCTTCTAGCCATAGTCTTTCTGACTCCCACTAAATGATTAGTTGGAACTATGCAAATGTGAGGTGCTTATGGCCCACCAAGAGGATTGGATAGCTTGCTAATAATGTTAAGTAAGGTACATGGCACCCTTGTAGGGGGTGAGATTGCTGAAATAAGGTGTATGGAACCCTAACATGAGAACTGGTCAATTTTGCTATTCTGCCAGGCTTAAAATGAGCCATTCCAGAGGTGGAAAGGGGAATCTCACTACCATCAAGACAGGTAAGAGCTGGGAGTGGAGCACATCCTTGGACCTGATATCCCCACACTGAGACAACAGCAGAGAGATGGCAACAGAGGCAACAGATCCAAGCAACCAGCATGAGACAGAGTGGTGTGCTTGCCAGCCCACAGAGCAAGAAAACTGAGTGCCTTTGGGCAGGAGGCTTGTTGGAGGAGTGGGGTGCCTCTCTGGGCATCTACTCAGCAAAGCTAAAAGAGCTTTGTTAACACTTGCCTGAGAAGGGCAGAGGCCAAGCCAAGAGGCCAAAGGTCAAAGAGAGATGTGCCTGAAGGAATAGCGGAGGGGAGGCTGTCAAGACTGAAGAATTGTTATCCTGAGAATTCCTTGATCTGAATTGTAACCTGCTGCTTACCTGATAAACCCAATAATTGTTAGTACTGTTTGTGAGTTCTATGGGGCCAGTGCAATGGATTATCAAACACAGCAGAGAAATAGAGTGCCGTGAGAGGGACAGCTGATACCCTAATTGGTAAAGAGGTTAGAAGGTGGCAGCATGTCTGCCCTCTGCCTAGCAGGAATCTGCACTGGGCTGATGCTGATGGTGATTGTCTCTCCCCTTTGTGAAGTTAGAGGAAGTCAGAGGATGCCATGTCCATGCCCTTTGTGGAAGAGGCAAGGTAGTGAATGAAGGAGGGAGGCAGGAAAGGAAGAAAGACCTTCACACAAATCATTTATTTTCTACAAAACAAATTCTCCAGTATTCTTTTAATTGAACTGACTTTCATCACTGGTGGATCTGTTTTCATGGCCTAAACTGTTAACTTTTCTAAGACTGGGCAGTAACTGTAGTTTTTTATCAAATACCTGAAAAAAGGCCGGTGCAGCAACAGCTTGAAGATGAAAGGAGAAGAGATCTGTAAGAGAATTACTAGTTACTTCCAGGAAAAATACACCAGGAGAAGCATTAAGTATGCTGGTGCTCACAATCTGAGGACATACCTGATAAGGCAAATTTGCCACACAAGTATCAAAGAATGGTAAATCTGTTTTCAACACATCACCCACCATTACTTGAAGTTTGCTGGCCAAAGATCTGATGATTAAAAGAAGAAATTTAAAAAGAATATTGATTCAAGAGATTGAAATGAATTTTAATTTTCTTATGTATACTCACGTGCCCTGAACTCTTTTGTGAAGTTCAGCTATTAGCCTTGGGTCAAGTTCACAGGCAACTACCTGAAATAAAAGTTCTTTAAATTGGCAAATATTTTTACAACATATATTTTTACAATTTAAAAAAAGGAAATAAAGTTTCTTTTGATCAATTATGGAATATAATCTTTTTATCCCAATGAAAATGCTTATGATTTAAACTTCCTTTCCCAATTCTACCATCCATATTCTTTTAATTCTACTCTACTCTACTAAACAAACAAAAAAACACCACCCAAAAAAGTAGACAACGAGATGATGTCAGAATTCTACCCAAATAACACAATGATATTTTATCTGGCTCTATGCTTTGTATCTGAACAGATGATAGAGGAACTGCTATGGTATGTCTGTGTAGTCAGTTTTCTTACACTGAAGCACAGAAAGCAAATGTCAACTGCTCTTAGAATGAATTTATTATTTCTCTCACGTACTAAAGTCTAGAATATACATATATATATATATATATATATATATATATATATATATATATCTCAAAGATAATTTCTCAAGTAAATGAAAGGGAATACCAAATAATGGCTGAAATTGTGATTTTACTGCAACATCAGCTGAAGTTTACTGATTTCCAGGAAAACCATGTCTGGAGGTTAGATATATGTGCTACTTATTCCATTTGCCTCCAAGATTCATTAGATGGGGCAATCTACTTCCATAGCGATACTGCCTTGGAAACCCAAGGAGGGGTCACTATAAGTCAGATCCAACTCAACGCCAGTGACTTTGGTTTGGTTTGGTTTTGCAAGATTCATTATACACCTTTCTCCATCATGGACTGTAGGATGATGGAATCTAGCTTCCTAGCCCTGGTAATCTGGTTGGGATTACACAATGTCCAACGCCTTCCCCATGTCTGGCAGTAGGTACATTCTGCTATTAGTGGCCCCTCTTCGATGGCTCCTGCTCTCACTGGCCTCTGAAAACACAGGTTCCCCTCTTCCCCCTTCAGGCATTTGAATAGTTAACTGCCTGCCGCAGCTGCCTGTCCTTGGCTTTTACTAACTTTTACTGGTTCCCTTAATTAAATTCCCACACTTAGATAAATCCTTCAAAGTGTGCTGCCTGCTTCAACAGGGGGCATAACTGGACAAAGGTTCCATCTAATTGGAAGCTGGGTCAACCACAAGGCAAAGGTATCAGCGGCAGCCAGGTGGTTCCCCAATCTCAGAGGCCTGAGCTCCAGCTCTGCAGGTCTCCTCTAAGGTTCTAGATTCTGATAACTCCAGTCTCCTCTCATTGTTCCCCAGGCATAGAGCTAGTAGTTGCTCTTTGCAATTATTATTCAGGGTTCCCATTTTGCTTTTTCAGTTCTCTAACAACCATTACACTGTAATGTGAGTCATGCTGGTGAGAGACACTGTAATGTAACCAATTCTCTATGTTAAATTCTCTGTGTTGAAATACCTAATGTGGTTTCTCATTTCCTGACTAATATATTCCACTTTTTCTAAAATAAAGTTTCTAGCAAGAGATCGAGAATAGCTATTAGAATAACATAATTAAATAAAGCAACTTTATGTTTGTAAACCAGCTGAGCTTGCTAGTTATTTCTAACATGAGAATGTTAAATTGCAATTTTACCTTTTTTGCCTTTTCTAGCAACTTTACAGTCATATTGCCAGTTCCAGGTCCAACTTCCAGGACTACATCTGTTGGTCTTAAGGCTGCCTAAAAGCAAGCACACTATTAGCTCTTCTGGTACATCTGAACACACCTGAACTTTGTTCATAAGCCCTGAGGAAGTCTTTGTGTACATTTTCAGGAAGTTTCTTCATGATGTTTGTGCTTCACAAAACTACCTCATTAACACTAAGTGTAAGTGGAAAGCTAACACCTCTCCTCAACTTGAGGAGTCAGAACAGCAGGAAGACAGTTCCTTCCGTGATTGTTACACAGCTTTCTACCTCAGTAATGACTGCAATAGCATTTTCTTACTCTGTTCATATCACACAAGTTCAAACAAAGTTCAAAGGATTACCTTGCCTGAGGATCACAGTTTTTTGGACCAGGAATTCTCAACCCATGTATGGATTTCAGGATATGCAGAAATACCCAGAAAACTGCTGTTTGTACACGTGCCAAAGGGGCAAGGAGGCAGCATTTTCTGACCTCTTCTAACCCCACAAGAGGAAGACAGAATCACCATCAATAGCCCAAGGCCTATCCCTGCAAGGCCAGATATGCCGTTCCCCTCCAGCCTTTTCATCAATCTTGACACCAACATTCCTCCCACAGCACTCACCACCTCTTTCTTTGCTGGGTTCGATAATGTGCTGCAGTGGCCACACAGAACTCACAGATTATGGGGTTTATTAGGAAAGCAACAGGCTACAATTCAAGTTCAGGAACACAATCAGTCTCTCTCACCCTGCCATCTCTCAGCTGACAGTCTCTCTCAGTCTCTCTCCCAGCAGTGTATATCTCTCAGTGTCTCTCTCAGCAGTGCATGTCTCACGTCTCTCACCAGCATGACTCACATCTCTCTCTCAGCAGCACATGTCTCTCACATCTTACTCTCTCTGCAGCACGTGTCTCTTGGGTCTCTCTCTCAGCAAGTATGTGTCTCTCAGCAGTACGTCTTTCTCAGCCAGCAGTCAGAGAGACTCCTTCTGCTTCTAGGAGGGCTCCTTTTGAGCCTGGCAGTGACCAAACTAACCAATCTCAACATCAGAATTTTATACACCTGAGAGACAGAGAACTTCCCAGAAAACTGCTTCCTGCCACTCTCAAAAGAAATATCCCAGGTGGATAACGTTAACAATCAGGAGCTACTCAGTTGCTAGTGGCAAATTCCACCACAGAGTTTACAAAGACATGGCTAGAAAAGCCACACTATGCAATTTACTACACCACAATACAGCAACAAAATTCGGGTCTATATCTTTCATCAGAAAATGCTCAAATCCATGAGCAAAAAAGGTTAAAAAGACCACCCCTCATTTAGCAAATGACACTAAACCAGGATGAGTTCATTTCGCTATGTAATACTCTTTCAACATCTTCAAGTTTAAAGTAAACTTTGTAACTATGAAAACTTTGTACCACCAGTACAAACTTCATGTCTTAGCACCCAGTTATCCTTAACAAAAAGAGGTCACCAATAATTTATAAAAAAGGCTCTGAAAGAAACAGAAATCAAGAGTGATAAAACCAAAAAAACCAAACTCACTGCCGTGGAGTCGGATCTGACTCATAGCGACCCCTCTTTGGGTTTCCGAGTTAGTATCCCTATGAAGTAGATTGTCTAGTCTTCCTTCAGAGGAGTGACTGATGGGTTTGAACCACCAGCCTCTGGGTAGCAGTCAAATGCCTTAGGCACTGCACCACCAGAGCTCCATAGAGTGATTGTTGTTGTTGTTGTTTGCCGTCGAGTCGGCCCCAACTCATAGCGACCCCTCCTTGGGTTTCCAAGGCAGTATCACACTACGGAAGTAGGATTGCCCAACCTTCCTTCCGAGGAGTGGCTGGTGGGTTTGAACCGCCAGCCTTCTGGTGAGCAGTCAAGTGCCTTAGGCACTATGCTACCAGAGCTCCTCCATAGAGTGATAGCTGGCACCTAAAACTAGTATCAGGGATAAAAGAACCACAGCAACCTGCAAATGAACAAGCACAAAGACCCTGCTAAACCTTTTGGTCAGTCGTCAAGTGCCTTAGGTACTACGTCCCCAGAGCTCCTTAATATACAGAAAGACATAGAATTTGAGGACAGAAGAAATCCACACCTACAGACTGGCACACGATAAGGAAGACAACATGTAAATCCTGGACAGTCCTCAAGTCAGTAAACAAATACTTATACAGCATTTAAACATGCTCCCTGAGCTTCGCTATTCCTCAGAACAAAATCGCTAACTCAACAGCTCCCTCAACCTTCTCTTTCCTCTTTCACACCCACCTTATCGATAATGCTGTTAACAATGAGAGGATTTTTCAAAATATGCTGCCCAATCCCCGTGTTGAACATAAGTCCTGGAAAGAAAAAAATATTAGAAAACAGCTTTAATTTCTCGACTAGATTAGATAATAGACCGTCCCAGAGAAGATAGCAGGATGGGGTAAGGGAAAGTTTCCGCGCCAACCAGTCATCAAACGTTAAGCCTGGAACCGGCACTTAGCATACTGCTTTAAGTCCATCTCTTCTGCTGAAAAGGCCAAGGGCGGCAAGCAGGACCTATGACCCGCGTTCTGGGAGCCCCTGACTTCCGCGCTCACTGGAGCGCCGGCTCGGTCTGGCCTCGCGGCCCCGGTTCAGGTTTCGGTGTGGTAGGTCCCGCGGGCAGACCTGACTCAAACCCAGGACCCCTCCTAGCTGTCCGCACCTCCAGCGCTCTTCAGCTCCCGGCGCTGTTCCTGCCGCTCGCGGCGGCGCCGACCAATCGCCCCCGACTTGACTTTCGGCATCTCGACAGGGAGCAGTCTCACAGGCCGGAGAACTTCAGGAGACCGAAAGCGGGCTACCCGAGTTACTGCACCACATGGTTGTCGCCACACCCAGCCCACCTCTCCACTTCGGAACACGACGGGGAGGGGCGAACACCCGCCCCAAGGTTCGCTTTACAAGAGGGCCGACCTTGGAGCCCAGTGGCTGTCGGGAATTGTAGTCACGCGCTCGAGGCTGGGCTACACTCCGGATACTACGGATCCCTGAAGACTACCAGTTCCGGCAGTTTGGATTGGCTGTCTAAATTAGAGTCAGGGGAGGGGTTTCTCGTCCTTTAACCCCACTGAAGCCAGTTTTGTAGAAACTCGTGTGGTGCGCTCGACTTTTGTGGGTCTTAAATACCGTTCGATTAGGCTCGCGAACTGCTTTATTAGGCCAGGTTCTGAAATCACAGAATTTAAACAGAAATTTCTCTCCCTTTTATCACGTCCCCCGCTTCTATTTTCCTTCAGGTCCCAGAGAAAAACCAGTGGGTGGAAAAGCCAGATCTTGGGATGAGGAGCCTGCTCCTTTGAGAGGATGAATTTCTCCACTGCTCGGGTTTTGGAAAAGAACTCGGAGAATGGAATTAGCCTCTAGTTCCACTAGGACTACTAGTTGCTTCACTTCTTGAAGCGCCATGTCATTCATTTCCTAAATATACTGAGTTCTACTGAGCCACTCCTCGGATGAAAGGTTGAACAATCTACTTCCGTAGTGATACTGCCTCGGAAACCCAAGGAGGGGTCACTATGACTCGGGTCCAACTCAATGGTACATAACAACAACAACAACACGAGCTTTGGTAGGAGCTCTAGTAGCGTAGTGCCTAGGGCACTTGACTTCTAGCCAGAAGGTTGGCTGTTCAAACCCACCAGCCACTCCTGGAAAGGAAGGTTGGGCAATCTACTTCCGTAGTGACACCGCCTGGGAAACCCAAGGAGGTGTCGCTATGAGTTGGGTCTGACTCCATGACCCATAACAACAACAGGTATTAGACACTGCTGGGTGCTGGTGATTCTAAGTTAAATAAGAAACTATCCTCAAAGTCTATTCCATTGAGAGAAACTTGAAGAAGAAGAAAAAAAAAAAAAGTGCAGCTTGCAGGAACAGCCAAGAAGTTATCCTGCCTGAAGAGCTGTATCCTGAGTCATTCCTGATTCTGAACTGTAACCTGTTACTTCTCAATAAACCCCATAATCATGACAAAAAAAAAAAAAAGTACAAAACACTGTAAATGTAATATTGGGTGATAGGATATTGTACCTGACTGTAAGCTTTAGGAATACAAAGTCCACTTCTATTTTGACTGTCATTGTAATGACTTACTAGTTTTAAATTTTTCTGGTGTATCCTATTGCTTTGAAGAAACAGTTCCTTCCCATCATTACTAAAGCTGACTCTCCTGTGCCTGTGCTGTTTATTAATTGAATGCAATCTTAAGCATCTTCAACTAGTACCATATTCAACTACCTATTTCAAATCATTAATCATGAATTTATTCCACAATTCTGGACAGTCAACAATGCCAGGCACCATGTTAAACACTGGGGATAAAAAAGAACATAAAATGATCCCTGCTTTTAAAGAACTTCATATCAAAAAAGGTAGATATGCAAATAATTGCAATAGCTACCATTGGCCTTAGGTACATTGTTTTATCTAACTCTTTCAAATAGTTCTCAGACTATTTGAATAAAAATAAATAAAATAGGTTTTATTTACTCATGTTAGAGAAAACTGAGGACAAAAAGTTTTTGCTTCTAACTTTTTATGATTTAGGTGAAATTTTACAAAGCAGATTAGTTTTACATTCAACAGTTCATACACATTTTCTTTTATGATGCTGATTACATCCCCTACATTGTAACAGCTCTCCTCCCACATTCTCTCTGTGCCCTTCTTTCCTATGCATTCCTGCCCTCTGAGCTATCTCCCTGTGCAAACACTGCCCTTCTGATCTCTCATGGTTGATTTTTCTAAGGAGTGTATCTATCGGGTATAAGTGTTCACTGTATATGCTTGTCCATTGTTTGACTGGAAGCTATGAGAGTGAGTTCAGTTCCAGGCCTGAAGGGTCACTAGGGGCCATAGTCTCGGGATTTTCACCAGTCTCTATCAGACCAGTATGTCTGGTCTTTTTTTTTATGATTTAGAGTTTTGTTCCACATTTTTCTCCCACTCTCTCCAAGATCTATTTTGATCTCTTTCCAAATGGTTGACAGTGGTAGCCAGGCACCACCTAGTTCTTCTGTTTTCAGGGTCATATAGGCTGAGCTGCTCATGGTCCATTAGTCTGTGTGACTAACTGTTTCCATGCATCTGTCATTTTCATCACTCTTCTTTGCACCAGATGAGAAGACACTAATAGTTGCATCTTAGATGGAGCTTTTAAGACCCCAGTACCTACTCGCCAAAGAAAGATGTAGAACAATATTTTTGTATACTATGTTGTGCCACTCAAGCTTAATGTCCCCTGCAACCATGGTTCCCGATCTGCAGGCCCAGCAACACACTCCTTCAAGGTGCTTAGTTGTGGCTACAAAATTATCTTAAGTTTGCCCCCTGTAAGCTTTAAACTGTTTATGGACATTTTCACAGCATATGCAAATACATATGTAGGAATATCATCTGTCACACCTATGTGTGATCATGGGTATACTCCAGTCGCCAATCCATACCTGGTCTTCTTGCCTATTCACCTATGTGTCTTCCTGTAGATTTCATGTTTGCTGTTACTGATAATGCAGTATGGAATATGCAGTAGTATTTACCTTTATTGTCTGTACCTCTGGTGACATAGTGCCTAAGGCATTTGACTGCTAACCAGAAGGCTAGTGGTTCAAACCCACCAGCTACTCCTCGGAAGGAAGTTTGGGCAATGTAATTCCATAGTGATACCGCCTTGGAAACCCAAGAAGGGGTCGCTATGAGTTGGATCCAACTCGATGGAAGTGAGTTTGGTTTTTTGGTTTGGTCTATACCTCAGGTACATCTCTCCATGTCTTCCTTTTCCTTAGTGATATCATACTAATCACACACTTTTGTTATGTTGCTTTTCCAGTCACCTATATCAACAACTCTCTCTTAACTATTGATCTATTTTCCTTCCCTTCCCCTCCCCTTCCATCCCCGGTAACCAACAAAGACATATCCTCCCATGTACAAACTTTTCCTTGACTTTTTATAATAGTGGACTGATACAATATTTGTCCTTCTGTGACTGACTGATTTCACTCAGCATAATGTCTTCCAAGTTCATCCACGTTATGCATTGTTTTACAGATCCTACATTATTCTTTGGTGTTACATAGTATTCCATTGTGTGTATGCATCACAGTTTGGTTAACTCAGTGGGGTAATGGATAATCTTTCCTGTCTTTTTAATGACTGTGTGCTTTCTTCATGGATGATGTTCTTGATGTCCCACAATTCATCTGGTCTTCGGCCATTGATGTTTAATGCATCAAATCTATTCTTCAGATGGTCTCTTAACTCAGATGGGATATAATCAAGGTTGTATTTTGGCTCTCATAGACTTATTTTAATTTTCTTTAGCTTCAAGTTGAACTTGCATATAAGCAATTGATGGTCTGCACCACAGTCAGCTCCTGGCCTTGTTTTGACTGAAGATATTGAGCTTCTCCATCACCTCTTTCCACTGATGTTGTTGATCTGATTCCTGTGTATTCCATCTGGCAAGGTCCACATGGCTAGCCACTGTTTATGTTGTTGAAAAAAGGTATTTGCAATGAATAAGTCATTGGTCTTGCAAAATTCTATCATGAGATCTCCAGTGTTTTGGTTATCTAGTGCTGCTCTAACAGAAGATATACCACAAATGGAATGGCCTTAACAAACAGGAGTTTATTCTTACAATTTCGAGGCTTGAAGTCCAAAGTGCCAGGCTCTAGGGGCTGGGTGAAAGCCCCTAAACCTTAGGCTTCAACTCTGCCTCCTACTCTTGGTCTACTGAAGCTGGAGGCTTTTCTTCACTCAGCTGCTGGCTGCTGAGCTGACAAGCCCAAGGTTGACAAGTAAAAAGGCACAGTCCCGATGTTACCAAACCACACGGCAGGTCATTAATTCAAGTCCATTAAAAGTCCCAAGATCAGCAGAGCATGGCAGGCTGCTGCAGGGTTCAAGCATGCCAGAAGCTAGAGACCGCTCCCCAAGGTTTCTCCTTACACATAGGAAGAAGACCCGTCCCTATGGCAGCTACACGGCTGCTCACAGTAGATTCCACCATGGAGTTGATTATCAGCTTCATCATGGGGAACACCACATGGAGCTGCCCAGCCACTCAATTAGGCCCAGCCAAGTTGACACACAAAGTTAACTACCACAGGACCATTCCCTGGAGAAGAGTATCATGCTTAGTAAAGTAGAGGGTCAGCTAAAAAGTGGAAGACCCTCAAGGAGATGGATTGAGACAGCAGCTTCAACGGTGGGCTCAAGCCTGGTAACGATTCTGAGGAGGGAGCAGGACTTGGCAGTGTTTCCTTTTGTTGCACATAAAGTTACTATGTGTCAGAAACAACGCAACAATGTCTAACAACAATAACACTTTTCTGAGTCACAGCTCTCCCTAGATTACCAAAACGATTCATTACTCCAAATAGGTTAAGATATACTTTTCTAAACCAATTTCTTCCTTTTAATTTGAATTATGCATTTTTAAAAAGTCTAACTATACAGCCTTGCTACTCAAAATATGACCCCTGGAACAGCAGCAGTGGCATCACCTGGAATATTAGATATGAAGATTCTCGGGCCCTACCTCAGATCAACTATGAATCAGGATCTCTATTTTAACAAGATCCCAGGTGATTCTATGCACCCTGGAAGTTTGAGAAGCACTACTTTTCACTACAATTGGAAGATACAGTCAAGCCAAAAAAATAAAACATGGCACAATACCATCCAACTAGTGACAAACATTTAATGTTTTGGCGTATAAAGCTCTGTGTTTGTTGTTGTTGTTAAGTGCCGTTGAGTAGTTTCCAACTCATAGAGACCCCATGCACAGCAGA